ATATATATATATATATATATATATATATATATATATATATATATATATATATATATATATATATATATATATATATAAAAGTAATATTTCCTTGAAATGATGGAATATTATTGTTACTGCATGCATACATACGTGCATGCATACATACGTGCATGCATTACGTGCATGGACATACGTTTGGAAATCATTATTGCTATCGCGCAAATTACTACATTTGTGCATGTGCTTGATAAGCATCTTCAAATATATGCTGCGATTCAATAAGACTTGAATTTCTCTGAAATTGGAGTATACTCAAATGAAAATTAGATGTCATCTTTCTTAATCATCATGCAACTTGAAACTCTCTACTAGTTATAATGGTTGATATATATCAACCGGATGGAATATGAAGAGGTTCGTGATGCATGCATGCATGGGTATGTAAGAACATGCAAAATAAATGGAGGGTAAGGATAGTGCATGCGGAGACATGCAAAGTGTTGGATGAATAAAAGAGAGGCACCGGGAGTGGGTAGGGTACTGGAGGGGCTAATTACAGGGCGACACAGTTGTCAACTCCCTATTGTTCCCCTTTTCCGTCTCTCCTCGGTGAGGTAGATGTACCCCAATTAGCCACAGGTCAACCCAAGCAAACCATCATATCCTCTCCGCGTCATCATGATGATGACATGAACATACTAGGAGCATTGCGGAGCGGTAAAATTGAGGGATTTCTCAACAAATAAATTATGCTAAATATATGTGAATGTATTCCTACCATTAAATGTCATCCATTTTTATCTACTCATTAAATTGATACGTACTTATTTGGTTATAGCATTTCAATTGATGAAAAAAAAGAAAAATTAAATTTCGGTAGGAGGAACACAACTGAATAGGTCAATAAACTTCAAAAATAAGCCATACACTCTTTTTTTTTCTCATTTCTTTTGAAAGTAAAACTTAGACGGTCTAATTAACAAAGAAAACGTTCTTCGGTTAACAAAAAAAACGAAAAAAAGGAAAATTGTACTCTTTATGATAGGAAATTTTAATTATTTTTCACATATTAAGTTTCAACAAATTATTTATAAAAAATTGCAAAAGTTTGTCACAGCTGCACGCTCCTAAATGATTTCGAATTATAAATTAATTTTAATTTTTCGTAAAAACTTTTAAAATTCTGAAGAAAATTTTACCACAAAACAAAAAAATTTCAGGTTATTGAAACAATCGTTGATTCGATCAGATTCATTAAGGAAGGAACTTTCGATAGAGAGTTAGAAATAGTATTTGAATTTTAATTGATCTATTTTTGGTCTTATATTTTTCATGGTTCATTTAGCATGTTTTTGTTTGAATGTTTGTTTTTCCGGAATTTTTTCCATCAATACTTGGCTCTAAATGAAAATCAAAATTACAAATTAAAATTTAAAAGTAACCTTTCTGCTAATTTTCAATTGTTTAACTCATTTCCTTTCTATCTTTCAAAAGAGAAATGACCAAAGTCTAGTGAAAAAAAAAAAAAACTTCTATTAATGGACATCAACAAATATAAAATCTTCTCTTCAAATTATCATAGATGGATTTGAATTGCTTTTTTAACGTTTAAGAAATATAGTAACACCTCCTGCTGTATAGTTTTAGCGGAAATAAGTATTAACTGAACAAGTAAGTAAATTAGCTTATCCTTTAAACAAATTAAATAAATGAAATTTAATTTAATTAAGATCAATTGATTAACTTTGCGAAAGTAATTAATATTTTAGGTTGAGTTGTATTATGCTATACTTTTGCATCCTCTATTGTCATTTAATATAAATTTAAAGATAAATGCTTCCCTTTTATAGTTCATTTTATACGACATTATAAAACTTTCCTTTTGAGCATTTTGCATAATAATAGTTGCAATTTTTAGTGATGAAGGGAAAAAAACATAAAAATAAAAAAAGGAAGGAGAAGAAGAAGGGAAAAAGGGAAGAAAATGGCAGAACAATAGATGGGTTTTCGTGTTACCTTTTGCTTAGTTCAATACCTTGATGAGTAATATGTAGTGCTTATTTTACAAAGCTTACAAAGAAATTTCAGCCTTCTTCCTCTTTTCAATTCTCCCTTTCTCTCTCTCCCTCTCCCTCTCTCTCCCTCTCTTCTTTTTCTTCACCTTCTTTTTTTTTCCTTCTGCAAAATGAATTATTTGCAGAATAGTAACCAGAAATTCGTCATTTTTTATTGAAATTATCGAGACAAGAAGATGCTTTCAAATCTTTGATTACAATCATTGATCAAAGAAACGGGCATATGAAGGGGAATGGGTATGAGGGACTTAAAAAAAGGAACTTGATTACTTAATTCTTTGTTTTTCATATTTTCTATCTTATCAAATTAGTATATTTGAAGATAGGACTGAACAAGCACTTTTATAAATATTACTTATAAAAAAAGAAAACGTTATAATGCATAAAAAAGAAAAAGTTTTCATCCTGTTAGATTTTGCATTGATGAAAATTTGATTTTTTGCAAAAAATCAATTGAATTCTTTCTTCTTTTTAATTTCGAGTAACGATATATACGTATTTTATTCAGAATTTGACTTGAATATTATAATTCTGATACATTTCACCATCAAATAACCATAAATAATTAATGAATTTTGATAACAATTGTTTATTTTATTCAACAAAATAGCATTAAACTTTTTTCCTTTTTTTTTGGACAGATAAAAATTGGAAATAGTAAACGACATCCTTTGACAACATTTAACCATCAAATAAATCATCCAGAAAATTCATAAAGATAGAAAATTGAAATTGGATAATTTTGAGTAAGAATGATTCATCAAAGTTCAATCCACTAATTAGCTATGGTGTTATGTATGTTTCAATGAACAATTATGATTAAATACATCCCAAATAGCAGTAATATCAGAATTGTCCCATTATCCATGATCATTGACCGTGATTTGAACATTCTTATTGTTTCTGCATTGATAGTTCCGAATAAGTAATAATTAGTTTTCCTGCTTCTGCTGGTATCATTCATTATTACTTTTACTAATTATTATTGTTATTATTGCTATCACTGCTGAAATATGATGAACTCGAACGGATAGATTAACTTTAACTTAGAGAAAAATACTTAACATCTAATTGCTAATTAACATTGAGCTGATCAAATAACATTTGAAATTTTCCAAAGTTTCAAAATAATAACTTATGATGATTTCATCTAGAATAATTACAACAGATTTTTGATCGTTGATGTTTGAAATTGATCGGAATTAGTGCACTGAATTGTTTGAAAGTTAGCGTAGGGATTTTAATTTTTTGAATTTTTGACAAAATTCCATTCCCAAATAATTCATATTTCATTTTTAATGCTTTTAATATTTAGTAAAAGTAATAAAGAAATTGAATATTACCACAATTACTTATTACTTATTATCAACCATACGACTATTAGTATTCCTACCAACACCTGACTGTTTCAGCTAGCAATCATGTCCTAAAGAAAAGTATAGTTGGAAACAATAGAACCACCTGTTTAAGCTATACATAGTTTTTATTCAATACTTTCCCCGTTCATTGAAGCATTTGCAAATGATCGGATAATCATACTCTCTTGCCCTCTTCTTTCATTCATTTCAACCTTTATAAATACCATTTTCATTAAGCTGAAAATGAGTAAGCAAATTATTTTCGTTACCATTCTTCCAATACAATAATAATTCATGAAATTCTGCGCAATTATTAAATAGCTCTTTTCTAAATTTTATCAAAAAAAAAAAATTAAAACAATAATTTTACTGTAAAGAAAAAACTATTACTTTTCATTGAAATGAACGAAATTTGTTGAAAATTCTCAGGTAAATTTCAGAGGAATATGAACTTTTTCCTGCAAAGATAATATTGTAATAGCCTGTAAATACATAATGCAGTAATCTTAATGAAACAATCCATTTGTACAGTAATCCGAAACATGAAGAAATACATTAATCTACAATAACAACAACGAACCAACCGTATTATAGTGCTGTCTTATCTCAGCTAGAGAGGATTTAAGGGATTTTTCGAGCGGTTGTTGTAAATTGAAGAGTAAAGGAGCACTACTACTACTACTACTACTACTACTACTACCACTACTAGTAGTAGTAGTAGAGTAACATATGTTTATGTGTCTCAAAACTGATGATTGAGATGATGAAGTACTTCAACATCCTCTCCATCAATATGTCTTCATGTTCTGTCCATTCAGAATGAAGAGGGGCGAAAGAGAGGTTTGGTTAAGTGTTTTCGATTGGTCCATATCTTGACACTTTTTTTTTTTTTTCAAAGGTATATTTGGAGAAAATTTTGTAATATTTAAATATTATGTGATAAATTCTTTCTTGTCATATGTCCATTAAATATTAATAATTTACGAGATAAAACATTGTTAAGAGTGTATGGAATTACTGTGATAATGAAGAAATATTTGAGGATATTGTTAAATCGTTTTGTAACAAAAGTTTTCTTTTTATTAAATAAAATCATTTTTAATTGGTCAATATAATCCTAAGTTGAAAAACTACAGTAATCAGTGATTGCTTGTTGAAGACTTTTAAAAAAGCTAAAGAAGATTAGGAAGATAATTGAGTAAATAAATATGGGATGCATAAAGGGAGGAATGAAAAGTGAACAATACTATAAAACTGCAAAGATAAGAGAGCAACAGGAAGAAGAAAATTAATTAATTGTTGTTTGGGAGGATTATAATGAGATTATGATTGATAAACAGTGAGGAGTTTTTGGAAACTTTCGGTAATCATATCAACAGATTGATAAATAAATGATAAACATTCACTTACTCTCACTTTCATCCTCAATGGTTTAACAAAATAAAAGCTAAACTTATCAGTGATTCAAGAATTATCAACTGAGAATGATACTTATCAATTCAGTGTTCTGGTTGGATAGGATAATAAGCAATTCAGTTGATAAGTAAGGAGTCGCTAAACTTCTTCAAACAGCTGTTTTGCATAGAAAATTCTGCTTTAATAATTGTTTAAAATGATGATTTTATGAGCTTAAAACTAAAATTTGCAAATTCAAATATTAAATGAGACATTAGGCATAGCTGTGATATTGTGTAAACAGTTAAATACAGAATTCCCAGTACTATGCAACAAGCCTAATTACATGTCATATTAATGTCATGCTACAAGACTTTAACCTAATGCACATTGTTAGCTGTTTGAAGGAGAAATCCGAAATAAGCTCGATTGGATTGTCCTCAACGCAAATTATTCGAATAAGGATTCAGTTATATATGACGGAGATTAAACGAATATACCGCTCAAGCTGCACCTAATTACCATCCAATAACATGGGACCTTGTTACCCTGGGGAAGTGTATTCTGAATCCGCTATAACCACTATGGATGCTGGATAAACTAGTACATTTGGTTTTCGAAAACAACTAAGTCTACCAGGGACTATCACAACATCATGCAGTTTCTTTCTTTTTTTTTTAAACTAGCATATGATGAAAATGATAAGCTACAGTTGACACCAAAATCTACACTAATAGTTACAAGCAATATCAAATACATTATTAACACAGGTTGATAATAGTTATCATAAGATTTTATTCAAATTAACGCTCATTGACATGGCAAAAATCATAACTGTTGCATGTCGGCATTTTATCACGGAGAGATGGATACTGTACCGTCTTGAATAAATTCAAGGATCAGTTTTGTATCCGAAGGTATTTCAAGCTAGCCGAAGAAATCTATACAACCACCAACAGAACCAATAAAATTTAACGACACATAACAAATCATCGACGACAGTACCATAACATGAATGGACAAATAGGCGATCCACTTCAAAGAAAATATAGAAACATACGACCTTATTGTTTCATCTAGGAACAATAGCGGTACATTTAAGGTGTTAGTAATTACGTCACAGATGTTCGTTCCTCTCAGAGGACTTCTTTTATCGGTATGCCTGTTATGTGCGAGGAAGATAGGAGAACAAGAACGCTACTGATGTACCTGAATATCCCTCACCTGTACAATATGGTAAAAGATACGAATGATCAAAACAGCAACACCTGTCAAATTTCTGTTGACAGGATTAGTCAGTACTGTCACCTTAATATTTTGTTTGTCATTTGTTTCAACAAAAAAACCGACAATGCAGAGAAACTAATAAATGAGCGGTTGTAAAACAATCACTCCCAACAAAAAGGAAACAACTTATCTTGCAGAGAGCCTTTAAATAAGATAATCATTCGACGAACTCTCAGTAGTCTTTGAAACAAGGTATTATTAAAATCCTGCCACGTAAAATCCATTCCTTTGCACTTGCACAGTTACATTTGCATGGAAAGCAAAACAATGAATTTTATCAATAAGAAAATATATTTTTCAATAAACGAAAAAAAAAGAGAACTGATAAAGACGAGAAGTTTATCAGGAAGTATTTGCTTCTCAAATTTTGTTGAAAGCGACGATGTCGACACTTTGTACCTGAAATTACAAGGAGCAATGAAAAGTGAAACTTTATTGTGACATGGATTTCAATTCTGCGAAAACGGAAAAAAAGGAAGTGAAGAAAAGAAGAAATGGAATGATAAACAAGAAAAACAAATTAAAGCTTAGAAATAACAAAAACGCACATGGTCTGATACTTCGTCGGTTATCTGTTCGATAAGATCATCCACAGAAACTTTTTCATCTTCCACAACGCAGATAATTTGAAGCACTTTAATACCGTAGGCAAGCGGGATCAATTTTGCTGGAAAAGAGAAGTAAAACAAAGCTCTTCCAGTAATACTGAATTAAAAACTATCCGGATGTGTTCCACAAATAAAAATGGAAGCCGGTTAACGTACGTTTGCTTCATTTCAAAGAGTGGTGAAAAGCATGTTGATCAGACGTATCTTTGATTACAGTAGAGCCGTATCATAGTAACTTAAATTATAGATTATGCAAAAATTCGATCAAAACCATTTCATACCATAGATCCCCTTTCCTTCTTTGAATCCGTCAAAAAAAAAAGATAGAAAGAGGGATGAAAAAATGGATTTCCATTCAACATACTTCCTAATTATGATAGCATGACTGGATGCCTTCAAATGGATATTTAGTTATAGGTAAAAAGTTTTTCACATTTATAAGCAATAACTTCACAAATGAAAACTGACCACCACCCCAGACGAGACCATCTTTTTCAATCCTCCTTACAAGTTTCGCCATTTCTTGCATATCTGTCGTGTCGTCCCAAGGCTTAAAATTAAGCATTATGTGAAAATGAGAAAAAAAAAAACAAACATAAACGAAAACACAATCTTCTTGATCTTTATTTAAAAGGAAATTTTTTGGAACTGATACTAAGTAACACAAGAGATTCGATATATGTCTGCAACATTCCTGCTTCTAAAAATGCCATCTAAACTCAAGTGTTAAAGGAAACTTGCTAAATTTCAAGAACTGCGTGACTATTCAATGTATTGTTTCTTCCGAGGTAATAACATCTGCCATCGAAACAAAGAAAACGGCTTATTTTTAGATCTAGAATAATGAAAAAGCCTACTTTCACATCCAAAATAATAGAAGATTTGGCAATGCATTCTGGTTTCTTTGCTTTTTTCTCAGCATAAGCCTTCAGTCTCTCCTGCTTGACACGTTCTTTTTCTGCATCTTCCTCCTCATCCGATGATCCAAATAAATCAAAATCATCCTCCTTCGATGCTTGTAGTGGTTCCTGAATTTCCGATGACGACTGCTTTGTCAGGGCAGATAGAGGGATATCACTACCCTAAAACAACAACAAATATATAACTAACAAAGTCATTCAGACCTCTGAAGTTTTAAAAAGTTCAAAAGATTCTGAAAAGTATCAATATTAACAATTTAGTTAGTTACATCTCGAAAAAAAAAAGACAAATACAGCGTTTGGGAAGGAACGTGAATCTCTACAACCACATCAATGAAAAGAGTTCAAGACGTCGTGCTCCACTATTACATTAACAAGATATCACCATACCACTTCTTTGGGCTATTAAACAAATAAAGATAAAGATAAAACATCAAATGCAGAAAACACGAATCTTCAACGAGAACAATTTATTCGAAAACGAATGCTGAAAAGACACAAAGACTGAAAATCTTTCAAACTAAGTCACAATCATTTCTAGATGTTGTTCGGTGAAACAATCACT